GGGCACTTTCACTTTACCCATACGAGTGTCAAAACTTCCAACAGAAATGAAGTGCAAATAGCTGCATGAACTGCCATGCCTTTACTGGCAACCAGATCTTCCCACCCAATTTTGAAGTAGGTTTCCAATATTATGACTAATAGTGTTCCACTCACTATATATCATAGACTGGATTTGTGCCCCTTTACATGAAAGCGATAGATAAAGGTTCAGATTCTGCTCACTCTAATTACTGTAGTTACAGGATAATTTTCCAGCGTGTTTTATAACGTACGGAACAAAAATATAAAGTAGGATTTAGTTATATCTTCATTATACAGTAGTCAGTACTATGATACACTATAGCAGGAAAATAACATGATATCCTTGCTGATCATTTCTCTAGTGCTTTAATATGCAATAACAGAGGACAACCGTGTTTCTGACTGATTTCTGTGTTTGGTCGAATTATGACGATGGTAAACTATAGAGAAAATTCATTTATTTATATGAAAAATTTTCATTCATTTATTTATATGAAAAATCATGCTTCTTGTGTACCTTACACTGTATATGGAAGCAAAAAACCTTTAATGAGAATTAAAAATAATATTCTTTTTCAAGGACCAGAACTGTAGTCAACATCTCCCCATCTATTGTCACCGTCTTACCGACAGTGCGGATGATGATTTGTCGTCGTCGTTAATACCTAAAAATTCAGGAATGTAAGTATTTGGAGCAGATTTGCTATTCATCGATTTCATTTAAAAGTTTTTAAAACTTTATATTTCTCATTCAGTTTAGTAGAGTGTTTGCTAAGGAAAGTGCCAGTGGTTCGTGTTTAACCGGATTTTGCAATCCCTGCAGTTCTGGAAATTCAACCGATGCAACTAATAAAGTACGAGAAGAAAGGAAGTTGCACATATTGGAATTGGAGCTGAGAGCTCGTGCGATTGAAGCGCTTATTAGACGGAGTGATAATAAACCATAAATAGTCTTTATGTGATTATTGGCGAATAGGGTATATGTGAATGTAACAGTGCTGGAGGTTAGTGCATCGCATAATACTATTTCTTTGCCTGTGAGACGGGAAAAGCGCTCATATTTACGTCAAATTTTCGTATGTATAATGCAATAAATTCCCATTTGACATTATTTTAACATTTGTTATAAACAGTTTTTGCAGCTTAACAAATAACAGTTACGTTTTTGATGGTTGGTTAGTTTCTCCCATATTGTGCTTTAATAATACTTAAGACTGACTAAGGGTTTCGGTGTTAAAAAAATGATCAAAGTTTTTAATTTGCATTATGCTTCCTTTTAACCCTTTAGCGGGAACTATTGGGATAAATTTTAGTGAAAATATAGATTTCTTTTTGTAGTTTTGATAGTTTAGTGTTTGCTATAATAACACTTGTCTCTTAGAACCATTTGATCGCAGCTGATTAACAAATGGACATGATTTTATTGTCATGCTTGTTTCGCTTATTGTTTTATTGTTTAGGTCGAAATAAAGTGACTTGAAATATATTTTAGTGATTTGAAATATATACTTATTTCCATTTTCTGATCGTGATTTCGAAGGGAATTACTGCATTTTATTTTGCAGAGATTGATAAGTTAGCTCTTTTTACTACTGTAAATGAGCAACAAATCAGTGCTGTTTTTTGGAAAATATTTAGCACTTTCTCTTCGGCAATTAAGAGTCGAACATCCTAGCGCGAAATGTCGGCAGAAGTCACGGTTCGGTTGATTCTCTCGTTCTTGAAGTTTTTCGTCCGGTTTAACTTCATGGATTGTTTTAGCTTTTTATGGTGATGAATGCATTAGTAATGGCTTCCAATTTCATATTATAGAAAAACGGCTTTTCTCGTGGGGATAGTAGACGTGGACATTGGTTGTCAGTGCAGATCCACTATTGCGAAGGTGCCCGACGAACCAGATCCAGTTGTAAGCTGTCAGTTGAGGGGCAGTATTTTGTACAAAGTGTCATATATTTTCGCTATTATCAGAATTTATGGCATTTTTTTAATCCCTTAATTCCCTTTTAATCCCTTTCCCACTTTTCCTCTTCGAACCAGTCGCTGTCATCCCCCGCGGAGAACATAGGTCTAGTAGTTTGAATTGGAAACTTATTTCATATGTGTCACCCTTGCTTATCTTGAGTTTTCAGAAATTCTGAACTTTAAGGAAGCTGATATTCAAAAGAATTCTTAGTTTTGAAATTCTACTAGATATTGAAAAAAAAACTGACATTACATCTCGCTTGGAAACACAATAGAGCAAGCACATTCTTTAAGTATTGCGCGCCAACTGCTTTTTCCGATTCATGCAAATAGTCCCTTTTCAAAACAGTTGACAATCTCTAAAATTTTCGCATTTCAAGCGTAACACTATCTCCCATTCATAATTTACAGTACTACTATGGAATTACCCGGGTGTAAATGCAACCAAAAACAGTCCTTAATCTATAAACAAGACCTGTAAAGTATTGGCGTATTTGCTAGGACAATAACTTCACAGGCTACTCAATAATACAATTTTTGTAACACTGAACGGGGAAAGTATATTTTAGTGGAATTATCAGATTTTCAGTTTGGCTATGGATAGGAGCATATAATTGATTGATGGCATAGAATCTAAAGCTTTCTCTAATCGTTTAAAATAATTTCAAACCATTTTTAAAAGAAAAACAAGAAATGTAACTTTTCAGAGTGATGTATTGGTTGTCTTTCCTCGCACATATATTTGAAAATAAAGAACGAAGGATCCAAAATTGGTGAGTGGGATGGAAGTGTTTGTTTGAAAAAAGTTTCTTTGCAGGAACTGGTTGCAAAATGCAGGAAATAAGTGTACTGAGAACTACTTTGTTTTTGCAAAAATAACGGAGAGACAAAAGCATTCTTACTCCAGGAGAATGTTTACCACTTTTAGCTGCGGATCCAGCTCATATGTTCATTGTTACTGTTTAAGTGGTTCATTCCTGCTCAGTAACTTCAACTGTTCTGCTCAGTAGCTTCAATTATGATCATTATAATCATTTGTGATCATTATGATCATTTGTATCATTATTATATTATATCGTCGCATGGTGTAATGATGTCTCACAGAGTGAATGAAAAAGCATCCATTGATGATATTCTTGAACTTTGTAGAATAAATGATAATTTATTGAGTAACTTCGTAAATTGCTTGATTACCTAATCTTTGAAGTCCATTTGAAAGAGCCTAGCTTACTCCTTTAAAGCCGTGAAATAATAACTGTACAAGAGCAAACTCTTCATGAGCGACGTCCAACCTATCAGCATTGCCTACTCTAAGTTAACTTCGAAATTTTTCAAATAAATTGAGGAAATATCGTTGAGCTTGTTCTATGGAACGCAAAAGAAAATTCTTTGGAACCTAACCATAAAAGTGTTGAAAACCACAGTCACTGGTCTCCCTTGCTAATTTAGTCATGTCCTACGATCCTTTATTCTAATTATTACTTCTACTTGAACAATTTACAGTCAGGGAGTTCTTTTCTTATTCTTTTTCTTATCTGGGATTTTTCCCTCTCACCGATATAATGAGTTTAAGAGGAAATCCATTTGAAAGGAAACGAGTACAGAATTGGTGAAGAAATGACTGCCCGTGCATCAAAGGTTTTGCTGTCTCATTGTTGCGAATTACTGCATATTCCAGTTAACTGATCAGTTTTTAATAATTACGAAGCCATCTTAGGGGGTTAAATAAACCAATAAAAAATTTGTTTCGCAGTAATTAGTCAAAAATATTACTCCATAAGAGTGAATAATACGATAATTTTGATCAGCTCTTTCAATATATCTCATGACTCCCTTGAAAGGAGAAATTTTTTAGAGGAAATTTCCGGCTCTCAAATCATTAATTGAAATGGTTAATGATGATGTCATTGCAACATTTTATATCAGATTTTATTGCATTTAATATTCTAAACTTCGTAATTTAAATAAAATATTCGACATAATGTCCCTATTCAGCAGTAACTCAGGAATTGCAGTTCAAAATTAGTGAAAAAAAGTTTGTAGGTTTGTAATTAACTAGTAATGATTAGTTTTAAAATTTAATGGTGTTGTTAAAATTTCTTTGTTCGTTCTCCTTCCAGAACCTTATTTTCAAGACAAGTAATGCGGTAATCAATGCGTAACTATTTCGAAACCAGATCAATTTGATATCAGTCTGATGAGAAGATAAATGAAATGAAAATGAATGAGAACTCAAACGAATCACTTCGTTACCGAATTCGCTAATAGCAGTAGTTCTTGCATTGTATTATTTCCAATGGAAATAATATTTAAACGGAAGTAATATTGGAATGGAAAATATATTTGGAAGTAATTATCTGGAAGTAATTACCATAATTTACGGTTGTACATAAATGATTAGGTGCAGAAAAAAGTATCAGAGACAGTCATGCGATAACACTTGCAAGGAAAAAATTTCACTGCAGTTGCTACCAGTTGAAAATGAAAATTAAATTCGGTCACCAAAGAATCAAAACAAGCTAAATATCTATAAAGCAGTCTAGTAAAGTGTTTTAAAAAAACTAGTAATTTTGATCGGCTTATAAATAGTTGAAATATGTGGAGTAGATTGGATTGCTTTCTATACTTCGGAAAAATTATAATGAGGAGGATGAACACACCTTAATTAAGCAGTTCCACTCACTTTAAATAATGATTTATGATTTCGAAATAGTTGAATTTCTTCCTGAACATCCATTTTTGGGAGTACCAAAAAAGATTCAAATATGAACCGCAATTGAACAGCTACACGATATTATGAGTTCTAAAGTCCTAAACTTTTATCTTTAATCTTTAATTTCATTTGAAGAGAAGTATAAGATTTTTTGAAGACATTAATTAACTTTGAAAGAGTAGTCATACCAAGTTTATTAACACATGAAAAGTGAAGGACAGGAAGATAATTGGATCGAATTTTAGAAGTGTGCGACTGGGATATGAACTTAAATTTGCGTATTTCTAACATAACATTTAATATATTGGTATTTCGATCTAAAAAAAATTTGAATGTCCTCAAATGAAAATCGAAAATCTTGAAATAAATGAAATAAATGTCTATCCACCTTCCTATCTGTTTTCTGATTGAGTTACTACTTGTCAATTTGAAATTCTTAGACTACTTGCTTCACTTCCACTTGCATTTACCTTTTATATTAACAGTTGGTTATTTTTGTTCAAACTTGCAATTTTTCGTGGTGTCTAAACTTCTTGCAATTTAAATTTATAACTAATAGCTATGAATTGAATTAAGCGGTTATAGCTGGGGATAAAAATAACATTATAACTAGTACTTATAGTCTTCAAATTCTAACATGTCATAGCATACATTATTATAGTAACTCTCAATTATTTTTTCATTTCAATTGTCGTGCATGATTAGTAGTCGATAGACAGTTAAAACATGATAATGATAAGAATGTCTGTAAAGTGTACAATCGTTTTTGACAAAAGTTTTTGACACCACGATGGCACCTAAAGTGATTTAATGGACAGAAATAGCATTTGAAACAATTAATATTGACTGAGGTTCCTACGAGTCGGCAGGGATGGAGCAAAGACAATCATTTAAGATGTCAATTTAATTTAACAATTGAAGTTTTTGAAAATGGATATATTTCTATGCCAAATGGTTGATTATAAATTTTCTGTAGATTTACTATCTCTCCATTCGCTATCAATTCATATCTCATATCCGGACGAGCTCCTTCGATTATTTTGTGAACACTCCTGATACAATTTTCATTTTTAAAATGATTCTTCCTTCGACTAGCACATCTTGTTGTATTCTTCTGATGACTTTTTTTTGTTTTTTTTTTCAGATATCATAACTGAATTTCAAAAATCAATTTATATTAAATCAATAAATCAGGAAAATGATAATATATATTATTGTATCATAAAAACAGATTCAGTCGTAAATGGAAATAGTACTTATTTCTGTGATTTTTTTCACAAAAACCGTTAATGATTTTAATTAATTTTCATGTTACTAGTTGACTTTTCACAGATCTTCGACTTTTTCTACTTCCTCCTTTTAGGATATTTTTCCGCCATCCATTTAGGTTGTTTAAGCTTTATTTTCTGTTGAAAATTCATTAAAAAAAACAATTTAAAACGTCTAGTTAGAATTTTTCAATTCACAAGGTAAAGTAATTCAGGGAAAAATTTTTTTAGTAAAAATTTTTCAGAAGAACTGAAGCATATATAGAGACAAGATGACTACTTTTTAATTTTAATTACCCAAAGAACAAATGAGATACTATTTTTGGTTCGATATTTATTGCCAAAGAAGAACTGCCATCATGATAACTTTACTGTTTCCAGTTACAAAAAATGTGGGTAATTAGGTCAGTGCTTGCGGCTGGCATGAATAACGCCCCAAATGAATGACCAACAATTTATTTGGTGTTTTTTTTTTTTGAAATTTACATTAAATTTCAGCGGACCATGCTCTTACAATGTTCCCCCAAAACTATAATTTAATAAACTTGCCAATTTTCTTTCAAAGTCAGCAATTTTCAGATTTTATAAACTTCCAGTATCTTATCAAAATAACACCGCAAATTAAGAGTCATTCAGCTAACAGAAACGTTTCTTTTTTGGTTAACCTATTTTATGTTATTCCATGGATCTAATATTCCTGAATGAAGATGTCAATGGCTAATAGTTGGAAAGGATCAAAAATAGGTTGTGTATAGCATCTGCAATATTCCATACATTCCACTTCTACGTCTAGGATCATTTAGCGCGATGATAGCCTCTAAATTCTCATTTATTTTTCAATTTATAGTTTACTAGCTACACGCTGGTATTATGAGAAATGAAGTTGAACGGTATCGAAAGTAATGCGCACGATGAGCAGGTGACAAATGCGCCGT